CAGGAGTTACAAGAGGAGTGTGTTCGCAGTTTCCTCCGCTGCCTAGCTTTCTCGAACAAACTTAAGCACGTTGCCAATATGACATATGTCATACTGCATCCCCAATATGACAGTTACCTAGAGATGAGTTCTCTGTTGGAAGTGATCATGCTAATGAGGCCTGACCCAGATGATGGCCCTTTCTCTCTCCATATTGCTCATGATTATAAAATCTTTGTGTTTCAAATGAGATTATACCATTTAGGTTGGGCATGTGACATTTCCTTCAAGGTCAAGGCTGAGTTGTTTTCTGGTACTGCGCAATAACGTCCTCCACAGAGAGAGACCTTCTGAGTCACCTGAATCTGCACCACGGCCCTCAGAGGGAGACAGTCAGTAGAGCTAGCACTTCCCATAACTGATCTTGGGACCCAAAACTGGATCATTGCCTAGGCTGGTTCCAGAGTCATTCTCCACTCCCTTACTGTGCCAGAACTGCCCTGGAATGCCAACCTTTCTCCAGGAGCCTCTAGAGTGCCTCTGAGGCCATGTCTTCCCACACAGAGTAAAGGGATCCTTTGGGTTCTCACTGCAGTCAGAGGGACTCAGGTCTTCAGTTCCCTGGGCTCAGAGAGTGGATGATCAGTCAGACACAACCTTGGGCACATCGTAGAGAATGCACAACCAGTGCTGTACCATTGAACAACTCTGAACGTGAGATCCCGCAACTGGCACAGTCCTTTCACGGGGGCAGCAATGGGCTCACAGAGGAGCAGCCTACAGGCAACAGGACAGCGGATTAGAGGAGACTACCTGGAAGGGCACAGGAAGCTGAGCCCGAGCTTTATTCCAGGATACAATAATTGATTGTCTAAAAATAGCACGACTGAAGATAGTGGCGAGGGCATGACAACAAAGCCCATGGTTTGCCTGCTTGAAAGAACTGTCAGGTTTGAGGAAGTGGGCGGGAAGGATCAAAAGTCCCTCTTTAGCAGTTGGCTCATTTGGGAAAGTTGGCAGACCACTGTGAACTTTAAGATGTCTTACCTGAAAATGAAGCACTAGGAGCCATTACGAAAACTAATGAAAATGCAACAGATAGACTAGCAGAAGACAGCTGCCCGATAAATGTTACTTCCCTTCTTCTTTATTTATTCACGGGTTCTTTTTTACCGCGCTACACACACGCGTGTCATTACACATGGTTACGTGCATCCCCCCACCCCCTGTTGCTGTCCCCTTTCTCCTCCTCTGCTCATATCACTTGCATCCCATTACAATCTCTCCTCCTCTTTCACATTCCCCTTCCTACTTTCATAACCTAAACAAAAGTATAGAAATTTAAATATAAATTAACCATGTAAGAGAAAACATGTATTTATATTTCTGGATCCAGCTTGTCCCATTTAACACAATGGTCTCCAGTTCCATCCATTATCTGCAAACAGCATGATTTCACTTTTTTGTGGCTGAAAAATTCCATTGTGTACATGGACCACATTTCCTAGCTGGACTTCATTTCTTGGAGTGCAATTCTTGCACATTGTGAGTAGTGCAACGGAAACATGGATATACAAGTATCTCTGTCGTACATTGGCTCGACATCCTTCTGGTAAATTCCCTATAAGGTTTACTTGGGTCATCTGGTAGTTTTGATTTCAAGGTTTTGAGGAACCTCCACAGGATTTCTATTCTGGCTGCACAAGTTTACATTCCCATCAGCACTGAACAAGAGTTCTTCCTCATTTAACTGGAGTGAAGAGGAATCTCGATCAGTTTTAATTTGCCTTTATCCAATGGTAGGAATATTGAATTCTTTTCCAAGTTATTTATTGACCATTTTAGGTTCTTATTCTACAAACTATAGCCTGTTTTGTTGGTTGGATTATTTTACTTTAGCATTTAATTTTTGCAGGTCATATAGTCTAGATTGCCACTGCCCTTTCTTGGAACAGCTGTGCTGTGGTCATTACCTGAATCTACTCATTGCAGAGTTCCCTGGGGACCGTTACTTGATGCTTGGTGGGAAGGGGCTGTTACTGTGTTTGCTTGCTAATGTATTGCCTTCATTCTACTAGAAAGCAAACTCAGAGGAATGGCCTTTTTCTGTCCCCTTTTGCTTGACTCCCAGTTCCTAATCCAGGGTCTGATCCATAGTGACAATGGAAGAAAAAAAAAAAAACTCTTGATGAGTGACAGAAGGGAGCTTGCTCGTTTGCCTCCTCCTTCATTGTCTTTTGAGAAGTAGTCTGTCTTGCTAATTTTTCCTTGTTCTGTTTGTGAGATAGCATCTCACTGTGTAGTCCAGGTTGGCCACAAACTCACCAGCTCCTTGCCTCCGCACTCTGAGTGCTGGGATTGTAGGCATGCACCACCACACTCAGACTTAATTAATTTTTCCATCCAAGATTTGTCCTTTGTAAAGAATATTGCTGCATTTTTTTAAATTTAGCTGTCTATGCATTATCTACCCAGAACAGTGTATACTATGATAATAAGTAATATATTTAGGAACATGCATAAGATATCCAGATGAAAATAGCATGTTTGTGATCATGGTTGTCTCTGGAGGAGGAGGAGAGGACCAGCGTTTGACAAGAAAGGAGTGCTCTGCGGGGATCTGCAGATGTCCCGTGTTCTGGCTCATTTGGTTTTGTTTTCTTTTGTTTGAAGGAGTCATTTCTTTGCTTTTGTTTCCATTTTTGTCTTTTTGTTTTGTTTTTCGATGTTTGTTTTTTGCAGTGAGAATTAAATCCCAAGCCTTGAAAGTTCTGGAAAAATATTCTACCAGTTAGGTATATTCCCAGCCTACCTCTCTTGATCCTCCTGCCCCCTTTATTTTGTTCTAATGAAGGGCAGGTAATGAAAACACACAGCATGTAACTGAATCCGAGCAGGTAAACGGAATAGAAGGGAGCTCTGGTATAAAAGGAGCAGCAGGCAGTGCTTCTGCCCTCACAGCTTAGCGGGGAAATAGTCTTCCAAGTTTACAGATGAGGAAACAGAGGTCAAGCAATTTGCCCAAGGTCAGTCAGGCAGCAAACTGCTGAGGCAGATGGGAAGCCAGGGCAGGGACTGTTAGTCATCAAACCCTTTCCTGCATCGAGGGTCCAGCTTGATTTCCCAGCAGATCCTAGAACCATCAGCAGAATTCACAGCGCATCCTCCCCTGGAAGAACCTGCCATTGCCCTTAGGGCAATGCCACTCTCCAGAGGGTGAGGCCACAAACTGTCCTTTAGCTGATGAACACTGTACTTGTGAGAACCAGTTCGTGATTAGGCCCTATCAGTCCCGTTCCCCAAGATCTAAATAACCTCCTAACCTCAGTGACTTCTCATTCACATGTCACGTGATGGCTGTGACTCCCTGTAGCTTCTTCATCGGCATCCAGGCTGAAGGACAGGGAACACATGGGACTTGTGGTGGGGGATATGAAGGGGAACACCAACTTGCCATGGCCTTTAAAGAGTTGGCCAGAACTTTTCCTCAGACCTGGATTGCATCACTTCCCCTCACTAATAGTCAAAGTGAGTCACATGACCAAGCCTGGCATCCGCAGGAAGGTATGTGGTGTCCCTCCATGTACAGCACTATCTATCTCATCTGTAGGCGGGGTTTCTGTTCCATCCCAAGCAAACACACGACTAATAACTTGCTTTTTGTCGCTGACACGTCATTTGGTTGAGAGGTGCAGGCTGCTGGAGAGTTGCAAATATCCCCCAAACTTTCCAGAAAAATGCAGATCTGTGCAGGAAGAGCGATTAATAGCAAATGCCCCCATGACCCTTCCTAATGTCCTTGGTTTCTCCCCCAAAACTACCAGGGCCACGCCAAACTGCTTTAAAAATAATTCTCTTGGAGTGTAATTAGATTATAAAAATGCTTCAAAAGAAACAAATAGCATTGGTGCCCGGGTTGGGTTCATTTTCCCATTGTGGGCTCTACAGTTCTGGGTGGAAGAAACATCAATTTGAGGTGCCCATATTTGCTGTGATATTTTGAAAGTCTTCATAGTCTCTGAGTGAATAAGCATTTTCAGTCACTGGGCCTCACAAACTATGTGGCCAATGTAGCTAGGAATAGATTACTCCTTCCTGGAACATTTCCCCTGACACCTCCGGTGATGCCAAGCGCCTCCCGGCTGTGCCCTCATTTGGCCCTATGACTACAGCCCTTGACACCCCCATACTTATCTCTATCTTCTCTTCCTCTCTGCTTCACGGGTTCCTTGAAAGCAGAGCAACGATGAACTTATAACTTTATTATGCAGATTTGATGAGGAAATGCTTATCTGATATAACTTCATATAGCCTATGAAGATATGATACCTTCATGAAGTTCCTAGTCTTGTGACTTCTTTTTTAACTTGCAAGAGAAAAACTCCTAAATCAGGCATAGGGTGTATATATATATATATATATATATATATATATATATAACCCCAAAGTTTTGAGGTGGAGGAGAAGGATCAAGAGTTCAAGGTCAGTCTCAAGCTGAAGCCTGTGCTTATGACAGAGAGAGAGAGAGAGAGAGAGAGAGAGAGAGAGAGAAGAGAAAATATGTATTTGTCTTTCTGAATCCAGCTTATTTCATTTAATATAATGATTTCTAGTTCCATCCATTTTCCTGCAAATGTCATGATTTTTCACCTTTTTGGAGGGCGAGGTGGGGTTCAAAATATGGTATCTCAGTAGCTATGGAGCCAGTCCTGGAACTCGCTCTGTAGATCAGTTTGGCCTCAAACTCACAGAAATTTGCCTTCCAAGTGCTGGGATTAAAGGTATGTGCCAACAACCCCTGGCAATTTCACTTTTTTTTTTAATGGCTGAAAAATTCACGACCATTCACAACCCTTCCACTTAGACTTCCCCACAAGGGAGAAAGGGGACAGGGAGGGGGTGTGGAGTCAGACACATAGACAATAGCACAATAGCACATGTTCAGCCACACCATAGTGTTCTTCCTAGAGCCTTGTGGCAGACAGCAACCAGTAAAATGGCCAAAGCAAAGTCCTCTTTACCTTCAGACCGCTGTGACTGTCTCCAGGAGGACACAGGATGGAGCTGCACTCTCGGGTCACTTGGGTCTGTCCCCAGGTTCATGGTTGTCCTCTCATGAAGTATAGATAATCATATGCTCCTTGATTTTAATTCTTGAAATTTTCATGATCTGCCAAGAGCACAAGACAGGAGAACAAATGCAAATTAGCACGCTCCAAAGGCAGAGCTAGAAACTTACACAGTGTACCTTATTCAGATCCCACATGAGAACTAATGCCTCTGTTTTCAACAAATCAAGCCATTCTGATGCACAGTGAGTAGTAAATATAGAATAAATTTCAACAAACCATAAAAGGACCTGCAGCTCTCTATGTACTCTTATCTCTGAATGAAAATAAACCGGAGTGTGTGGCACTCACACTGAAAAGAATGCTGGGCAGCTAACCAAAGGATAAATGGGGAGAAATTACTACAGCATTAGCATTTCTTGGATGGCCACAGGCAGCATCGTGACACGCTAGCATGCACACACATATGCACGCACGCATGCATGCACTCACAGGCTTAAGGCCTCCATACTCCTGAGTTCAAATCCTGATAGCAATTTGCCAAAAGTCTCAGTTTGAGATATTTATGAAAACCTCTCTGAGGCTGTTCCTGCCTCTGTTAGATATAAAGGGTGAAACCTGCTGCCTCACGGGCTTATTAAGAGTGAGGAGAAGGAACGTGTGCGCAGGACAGTGCCCAGAGCCGGGAAGCCTAGGTGACAGCTTCACGCCTTTCCAGTGGTCCTAGTGACCAATCACCAGAGAGTTCGGCAGTTACTGCTCTCGCATGCCCCATTCTCCTCTTCCCCACCAGATTAGTCTTTAATTAATGATGCTATTAATTCCAAGTCACAGTGACCAATAAAATAGTTTTGCAAAGAAATGCCCAGAATCTATGGGTTTCCCTGCTGATGGAGAGAAGTCTGCGTACTTTAGAAATAAATGGGTGAACACACACCAAAGATGCTCTCTAGTCACTATCACTGAGTAATGAGAAGAGGTCGAGCGGATAAATGGAAGCTTTGCCCCACTGGGAGAACAAACGGTGCCCAAAGAGGCACCTTGTCCAAAGAACTTCTTAGATTCATCTCAAAAGAACTGTCCTCTGTGACCTTATCCCTCCCTTAATGGTACCCTTAATGTACCTCAAAAATAACATTTTGTATTTTAAAAGCTCAGCAGTAAAGCTATAAAAAAATCTTCAAATACATATATCCAATATTCTCTGTTTATGTTTTCATGTAATTCAAGGAGGGGAAAAAAAACTTAAAACCAGCAATTACCAGCAACTGCCTTGACCAAAATAACCAAACAGTTCCCCAGATCTTGCCTTGGCATGAAATTGCATAGACAATCAATAGATCGTATTTTAGTAACAGCAGAACTTTCTACAAACCAAGTTTAAATGTTATCAACCGGCATCCATCGACGTCACAACCTGACACTAAGTGTTCCAGGCAAACATAGTTTTACTCAACTCTGGAGAGTCCCAAGCCTGAAAAACTGAGTCTTCCATTAGAATGAGAGAGGCAGAAAGGTCCCTTGCGTCCAAAAGGCTCTGACACCATTCATTTCATCTCAGAAGCCCTACGCCTCCCGAGCTGTTCAAATGGAAGCAACAGATCCTTAGTTCCAGGGGTTTTGGACATTTAGATGAAACTGTGAGATGTGATTTTCTTTAACATTGCATAGGCTGGGTGGTGGCACACACCTTTAATTCCAGCACTCGGGAGGCAGAGGCAGGTGGACCTCTGTGAGTTCAAGGCCAGCCTGGCCTATAGAGTGAGTTCCAGGACAGCCAGGGCAGTTACACAGAGAAACCCTGTCTCCAAAAACCAAAACCAAAACCAAACAAAAAAAATTGCATCGATAAGTGGCCTTGAAGTCTTATGTCACTTCCAAACGCTACAGTAAAAGGGCAAGTTGGGGGAGGGCACAGTGCCACAGTGCTTGCCAGCACTGAAAATAAGGAAATAAGTAAGCTATATGAAGGCTCGTAACTGGAGGTCCACAGTGCACAACGGCCATGCCCAGCATTGCACACAAAAGTGTGTGTATCTATTCGAGGCCATTTTTCTGGATCAAAGGTCGGAGTTTTCATCAGATTCTGGAAAGGAGCCATAGTTTCTCTCTGTGCCCCTCCTACCACACCCTTTGTTTCTCAGAACTGATCCTCCCTGAATTTCACTCTTGCATCTTCCCCATTTGTAGTTCTACCTCTAAGCGCCAAGCTCTGTGCACAAGGGAGCCACTCACTCAGGGGGCTCCCATTTTCCGTAAACTCTATCATTAACTCTGTGGGCTTCTCTGTTTACATTCTGGCTCGGTTATCTTGCTTTAAGACTCTTCCTATAGTCAAAAAATGGAAGGGTTAATTTTTAATTACTAGTCTTCTAGCAGTTTAATGCTTGTTTCTTAGCAAGAAACCCTTCGTATCCGTTGGTAATTCTGATTTACATAAAGAGCTCTCTTCGTCCCCTCCCTCGAATGGCTAGCAAGTTACCCCAGCACCATTCAGGAACAGCTCATCTTCTTATGATTCTTCACATGTATTTGGCCGGTTTTGAACTCAATATTGGTTCCATTTTCCTGTCTCTTTGGAGCTAAGACCACATTATTTAACTACTGAATGTAGTTTGTTCTCTTGTTTTCTGGAGTGCAGAGGACTGAACCCAGGGCTTGGCACTGCGAGTAAGCACTGTCACTGACTTTATTGACGATGTCTATTTCTGTCTACCGTCTCTCCTAAAGCACAACTCTAGGAGCGTTGTGTGAAGTGGTCTTTGTCTCTATACAGTCTGTCCTTTAACAGTGAAATCCTGTTTTCCTTTACTTATAAATTATAATTCTGAAGGCTGAGGCTACAATTCAGCTGGTAAAACATTTGCTTTTCACCTACAAGATGTCACTCACCTGGGCTCAACCCCAGCACTGCAAAAACTAAACAAATACTACCAATTTTAGTTACAAAAACTCTTGTTTCCAACATCTTAATTTTTAATGTGATTACTTACTAAGAAGTTAATCTTTTCGAAAGTAAATTCACTTACTGTTTCTAGAAACCACTGCTGCTGGGATTCCTGTCTTACCAAATAGTCATCATGCTACCTACAGAGATCATGGCAATTCCCTCTGCCCCTTCCAAGATACCCACTCCTGGTTCACTTTTTATCCAGTAGCATAGTGAAGTGCCCAATGAAATCTATGTGTTTATGCTTGCATTTCTAGGGATTGGCTCCATTTTTATAGTCGGAGGAAATTATGACATACTCTTCGATTTTTCTCCCATGGGTCTCACTGGGCAGCTTTGGCTGGCCTGGAATCCATGTCTAGACTAAGTTGCCTTCAGCTCGCAGAGACCCGCCTACCACCATATCAGTGGTATTGGCCTGCGCAATGTCAGAAATTTTAATCTAAGGGAGTTAAAACACTGGATAAGATTCAATTGACAGCTGCATGCAATTGATACAAAGAGATTTTAAGAAAATATGATTTTCCCTTTTTCCTGGCAGATTGTTGTGAAATTGATAAAAGAAAAGTAAAAATTGGATTATATTTAGGAAGCAGAATTATCAGCTGAATTTAATTTTAAAAACAAAACAAATAAACAATCAGAAACCCATAGGGCCATGTTTCACCATGGAAAGCTAAGAAACATCAAATCTACCTCTCTACACCACTTCTCATTGACTAGCTGAACACACCTTAAAACTGGTGCAGTTAACGCACATGTCTACACACTAAAACAAGGCTGTGGAAGTTTGATGCCGCATCTCCGTATGACGGTTTTCAGGTGCCACGTCTGACATCACAAAGTAAGACAGTTCCTTTCTAGATCTGGAGAGAATGCAACTCAATGTTCTCCCAAGTTCACTGAGTTGACTGTGGGGCTGGACTAGATCCTGTTGCCAGCCACACTCACACACACAGTCCCCCACACTCACACACACAGTCCCCCACACTCACGCAGTCCCCCACACTCACACACACAGTCCCCCACACTCACACACACAGTCCTCCACACTCACACAGTCCCCCACACTCACGCACACAGTCCCCCACACTCACACACACAGTCCCCCACACTCACACACACAGTCCCCCACACTCACACACACAGTCCTCCACATTCACACAGTCCCCACACTCACGCACACAGTCCCCCACACTCACACACACAGTCCCCCACACTCACACACACAGTCCCCCACACTCACACACACAGTCCCCCACACTCACACACACAGTCCCCCACACTCACGCAGTCCCCCACACTCACACAGTCCCCCACACTCACACAGTCCCCCACACTCACACACACAGTCCCCCACACTCACACACACAGTCCCCCACACTCACGCAGTCCCCCACACTCACACAGTCCCCCACACTCACACAGTCCCCCACACTCACACAGTCCTCCACACTCACACAGTCCCCCACACTCACACACACAGTCCCCCACACTCACGCAGTCCCCCACACTCACACACACAGTCCCCCACACTCACGCAGTCCTCCACACTCATACACACAGTCCTCCACACTCACACACACAGTCCCCCACACTCACACACACAGTCCTCCACACTCACACACACAGTCCCCCACACTCACACACACAGTCCCCCACACTCACACAGTCCCCCACACTCACACAGTCCCCCACACTCACGCAGTCCCCCACACTCACACAGTCCCCCACACTCACACAGTCCCCCAAACTCACGCAGTCCCCCACACTCACACACACAGTCCCCCACACTCACACACCCAGTCCTCCACACTCACACACACAGTCCCCCACACTCACGCAGTCCCCCACACTCACGCACACAGTCCCCCACACTCACGCAGTCCCCCACACTCACACACACAGTCCCCCACACTCACACACCCAGTCCTCCACACTCACACACACAGTCCCCCACACTCACGCAGTCCCCCACACTCACACAGTCCTCCACACTCACACACACAGTCCCCCACACTCACACAGTCCCCCACACTCACGCAGTCCCCCACACTCACACACACAGTCCCCCACACTCACGCA